GAAGGACCTGGGTGTTTTGCACCTTTTGTTTTTGTTCCTTTGGCTTTTGCGGCTCAGGATTATATAAATTATATAATCCATCAATATCTTCTTCTGTTAATACTTTATTTTTGAAATCTTTCAACTGTTTAAGTTGTGATTTCGTTTTTTCCTTTGTATATTCATTATTTTTAATTTTGTCTTTAATTTTAGAAATTATTCTATCATATAGATCCAAGGTGATGTGATTTTTGCATCCCTGGGATGGACGATACACCCAAAGTGTCACCTTTTTGGGATAACATGAATTTTAAATATCATGAGAGTTCTGCAAACCATATGCACAATATCTATTCAGCCTGACTTCTTGTATATATGAGTTAGACTTCTTAAATATTGTGCTTGGGGCGATATAAGCATTTCCGAGATTACTATCGTGCTCTATAGTATGCTACTTCTCCCTGGTTCTAGCTCAGTTCCAAGGATATTGGCTTTCAAGGATTTGGCAAGGTCCTTCCGAAGTCTCTCATTCGATGAGAGATTTCGGAAGAATCTTGCCTTAAAGTACTCCAACTCTTGTTCTTTTGTTCCTAAATAGTGAGAAAAGTTATTTGACTACTTAAGGTAGAGATTATCCGAGGTCCCTCATTTGATGAGAGGCCTCGGATAATCTCTGCCTTAAAATTGTACACTTGTAGTCCATGAGAGTGTAAGTATACATTGATAGGACAGCTTTCTTCTGAAGTCTTAGATTTGATGAGAACCTCAGAAGAAAACTGTCCTATTTTATAGTAAAAGGAGTTTCAGGAGCTCCAAAGCTCCCTTTCGTAAGGATTAGGAGCTTTGGAGCTCCTGGTTCGTAGATGTGTTTCGCATCTTTCATCAGCAAAGGACATTTACCATCTGGGACTCTGTTGATGGAGACTCAGGAGCTCCAAAGCTCCCTTTAGTAAGGATTAGAAGCTTTGAAGCTCCTGGTTCGTAGACGTGTTTCGCATCTTTCATCAGAAGAGGCCCAAATGGTAAATAGCCTCTGCTGATGAGCTTCAGGAGCTCCAAGGCTCCCTCTCGTAACGATTAGGAGCTTTGTAGCTCCTGAAGGTAAGGTAGGATTGCTCTGATCTCTAATCAGTAGATGCCATGCCTCATTATGAACTCTACTGACAAGAGATCAAGAGCTCCAAGGACTCCCTTTTTAGTTAGTGGCGTTCTCACCATTTAGTAGGATTGCTGATCCTACTAATGAAGTGATCACTTAGTATACGTTTTGAATAAATTGAATTTTTTTTAGAATTTAGTATTTTTTATAGACATCACATGTATATTATAAATACATAAATATATTCTTTAATTCAAAAAATTCAATTCGGTTTGGGATGGGTATCCCAGCCCCAAGTATTCAATTTTATTCAATTTTTAAAGAATTTTGGGTTGGGATGCCCAGACCAAAACAAGCTTTATATTTTGATGTGTAGATACGTATGTGTGCATCATTGTTGTGTTATATATTATGTTTTTAATGAAAAAAAATCTGATCCAAAAAAAATTATCACTAATTAGTTGATAATATAAAGAAAAAATAGATAAATTGTATGTTTTGAGAGTATTTATCCACATTCACTCATATGAATTTCATTAAATAGTGTTTTTTTACTCCCAAATTTATTTTGAATTATTAAAATCAAAGAAAAAAAATCAGAAAAATTTCTCGAAATTTTTATTTTCAAAAAAAATTTTGGATTTTATATTGAAAACTGACACTGGGAGGACGATAGGGCTGGGATTGGAGATACCCCGCTCACTTGGGAAAAATACGGATCTATATTCTATCATGATATTTCAAAACTTCATTTTTATAATATGAATAATAATATTCCATATCATCACCCGTTATATTGTTATCATATTTTTGGAGATATGCTTTTAAATCATAATAATCAAGAAAATTTTGATTAAATACTAAATCAGCAATTAAAATTTTTAAATCTACGTTATCCATTTATATAAAAATAAAATCAATGTTTTAAGGGTGCCCACCTCTTTGAATCATAGTATCAAAACCATTATTTACATATTGAATCCCATCATTAACGGTTCCTTTTGTCTCTTCTGTGGCATTTCATTAAGAATAAAATTTTAAATTGTATTAAATAAATGGCATACAACATCCATTTTCACAACATACAGCCTTAGTGTGTGCTCCTGTTAATGCAGTCTTACCAATTGTTAAGCGAGTCATTGACCCGTTTTTAAGTTGTAAATTAATATTCTGACCATCAAATATCACTTTATCATTTATTATATCCAAATATTTTTTAGGTGTTAATTGCTTATTTTGTCGTAAACTAACACCTTTCATTTTTTGTGCAATCTTTTTAAAATCACTTCCATCAATTGAACCGTTGAATGATGTATAACATTTAGGACATAAAGCAACCATGTTATCACCTTGTTTCTCAATTGCTAAACCCAATAATTTTTTCTCATGTGCTTTTTCTTCAGCTTTATTCTTTAATTTAGGTTTAAATTTCTCATCAAAACAGAAGAAATCAAATGGTGCGAATTTGAAAATGTTTTTATCATAAAATTGTTTATCGGTAACAATCGCCTGAAATGCTTGAGTGTTAGGAAGATTTGGGTCGCCAGCGATTGCCCAATAAGATGAATCAGTATCACCTTCAATGAAATGAAAACGATTAACATCCATGCATTTATACATAAAATCATAAATGAAAACCAAATACCAGTATTTAGCATTATCTAAAGTGAAGAATGCCTCTTGTAAACACGTATCACATCTATAAAATCTATCTTTGAGCATCACTTGATATGTATCTTCACCTATTTCTCTTATGTTTTTAAACTTATTTGACATACATGCAACGCGTGCCTTCTGTGCATTCATTATTTTAGTCTTTGCGTAATTTTGTGTATTCATTGCATCGTAACCATATGATCCATTAAGCGAAATCTTACAAAATAAACTTTTTCCTTTATTTCCTTCTAATTCAGCCTTTTGTCTTTCATTCATAAATTTGTTCGCAAATTCATTAAAACAAGTGTTTTTAGTAAATGTTAAAATTGATTGAATGTCATCAATGATAAAATGAAATCTGTCTATTAGATACCAAAGATAATAAGAAGAAAATGGTTGATATTGGTTGTGTGTTGATGCTAACTGAGTTAATTTTCTCTGTTTCTGGTCAACTGGTAGATTGTTTGATTTCATGTAATTATACATAAAACTGCCAATTGTTTTTTCATCTGTGATAATATCTAAGTTTCTTATTATCGGTAAAAAGTTTATGTAATCATTAATGTATTTTTCATCAATGTGACCCTTTACTTCAGCCACGAATAAAGTATTTTTCTTCTTAATTATTCCCAGTGCTTTTGCTTTCTTTGTTGCTGTATCACAAATGATAACACCATTCAATCTTCCCGGCATATACATTTTATGGTCAGTATATTGAATGAATCATGAAAGAATGATGAAGGATATAATGAATTAAAATGAAATGAGTCATAATGTTGGTGGTGTCCTCATTTGATACAGTTTTAGTTTCTGGATTATATGAAAGTTTATTAATGTGCGTGATTCCTTTAAGATTAACACGATGTTGAACATTTGATAGACCACCAGTAATTCCATTACGGAGAATGTGATAAGCTTCAACTGAATCTAAAGTCATTGGTAAATTATTTTTTAATGCATAATTTCTTAAATTGATTCTTAAACGTTGAACATCTTCATCTTTATTTGATTTTACGACATTGCAATAACAACACATTAACTGACAATTTTCTTTAGTATGTGGTTTTTCATTATCGATTCTATCCAATGTTGGTTTATTTGCATATGTAAACGCTTTACCACACATTTTGCATTTAGATGAAAGGATTAAATCGCGATAGTATTGAAAATCATCCATTGAAACATTATTTTTAGTATCCCTTTCTTTTTTCATTGTTTTTATATGATTCAATTTTATATTTCCAATACTTTTTCGTTAATTCAAAACTTGATTCTATCTCTTCCTCAGGATATTTTTCATTAGGATTAAAGTCTTTATATGCTAAAGCGTAACGAATCATTGAAGCATTCGATGATAAAGAAAGATTATGAAGCATATCAATTTTATAAACAAATGTTTCTTCAATAATTTTATCAATTGGGTCAATCATAATTTCAACATCTTTATTGCAATAATGAATAAAATATTCTAATCTATTCTTAAAATTTTTAGCATCATTGAGATATATTTGATAATACTATCTGATATAGTTTCTTGGTTAATGCTGAATAAAATGAATCTTGAGTGAATGGTTCCTCTTTATATAATTCTTCTTCGTAATTCTCCCATGTGATGAATTGATAAGGGAAAAAGGATTTAACACGTGATTTATTGTTTCCGAAATCTTGAGTGAATTGGTCTAATGTCCCACCCGCTATATAATTTCTGATGTCAATAAATCTCAATTCATATGGAACGTTTGTTTTCTTTACAATGATTTGCTTAAATTGTGAAGATGAACCCAGCATTGATTTTATTTTCCATTTTGCAGTGTTTAAATCACGAAGAATTAAATTTAAATCAAACTTTCCCGAATTAAAACCTATATATATTTTATTGAATTCCTCATCTAGAAGTTCTTTAAATGCTTCCTTCTGTTTTTCATTTAATGTTTGGTCTGAAAGACCTTCAGGACTCAAAGAGTCCGTTTGCGACAAATTCATTATTATATGTTCAATATTTGATTTAGCAACTAATGAACAGGTTGAAAATAAAAACTCAATCCAATCAGAAATAAAAGAATCACTCGAAGTTAAGCAAAAATTCCTCGTATATGTTTTATCATTTAATTTAACTGTTGATGATACCATGAATGGTTTTAAGTAAGCGTTCAAAGTTGCACACTCAGAAAGTTGTAATTCTTCTTTAGTCTCTAATGTTTCGAAGTCAAAAGTAATATAATATCTTGTCGGTTGATAATATTCCTGCAAATTATGAGCTAATAACCACTGATATATCTTCTGTTTCGTAATATGTGGTGCATATGGTTGCTGTGTCTTTTGCAACTGAACGTCTTGAATTAATCTTCCATTATTTTCTTTACATTTCTCACAATGCTTTAAAAATCTTCTTTGGTTTTTCCTTTCTGGATCATCACGGATAGAATAAACTTCTTCTTTACAATATGGACAAACTCTATAGCCGGTGAGTGCTTCAACGTCTGTTATTCTGTCAGCGTGAAGTTTTCCACATGGACTCTGTGTTAATAAAATATTTACTGTTTCAAATTCTGGATCTATCATTATTGATTCCACTAATGGAAAGTCTACCTTATTTATGTCCACGTCTTCTGGTTGAGGATCACAATAATAGAAATCAATATTAACATTTAACATTCTCGCTAATCTCTCACTTTCTGATGAAATGTCAAACCCTTCATATGAATCTATTGCTTCATTTAAATAACTTCTACGAGTTTTAGGATTAACACCATCAGGAATGTTATAGAAGCGTTTAAATAACCTTCTACCTTCTGCTCTAATTTGATTATCATTCATTTTAGCGGTTCCGTTTTTGTTCATTTATGTAAGAATAAAAAATTAAAAAATAAATAAAAATAAAGTTTATTTTTTAAAGCCCATAAAATGAATTAAGAACACATAAATTTTTATCATCTGCGACGTGACGAATACATTTTAATTTACTCAAGAATGCGTACCCTGATACATTAAATCTAATTCCTGTCTTATTTAATTTCACAACTTTGAAAAGGAATGTATGAATAGCTATAAAATGATGAGAAGATGTTTTATGGGTTGCTTCCATTTTTTCTGAAATAAATGAATAAATATAATGTTTATAAGTTTTCATATCTTTTATGTTCTTAATAACGAATGGTATAGACCTTTCCACTTCGTCTTCCTTCGGTGCTGTTCTTTCATATGAAACATTATCGGTATCTTCAATAATGAAACCACAATCACACAAAATTTTATAGGTTCCAATGGTTTCTTTTGATATTTTATCTAATAAATCAAAAACTTTATCAACACCTGTGCATTTATTTAAATAATAATTTGTGTAAATATCATGATCTTCTTTCTTAATTGTATTAGTTGCATATGTCACGTTTTTAAGAGCTTTTTTGAATTTTTCGGAATCTAAAGGTGGTGAAAGTAGGATACAGGGGTATTTTTCATTATCAATAAATTGTAACTTATGTTTACGAATAAATTTAGTACCTTCTTCTGAAAGTGTTTCATCTATTTCGCCACTAATAATAAATTTTGTGTTGATTCTGAGACATAATTTTTATCTTTCTTCATGAGATTTCTGAACTTCTGATTCTGAAGCTGGGATATTCATTAAACCCTCTACTTCATTTTCATTATATTTTTCAACTTCTCTTAATTCCTTAATTTTTTCATCTATTTCATCTCTTATTTTTTCCAGTCTTTCAATTTCATTGTATTCATCATCTTTAATCCGTTCTTCATAATATTCAGGGAAAACATCAGGTTCTTTAGGTTTTTCTTCTTTAGATGTGGGATATAAGAAATTTATAACATCATCTTTATTCATTTTTCCATCATAATCAAACTCATTTAAAAACTCCGCGAATTTTTGACAATTTCTTAAATAATATTTATCAACCTCATAACCCGCCTCCTCTAATATATCCTTTATTTCCTCATTTGTGAATCCCAATTTTTTAACGTCGTTAGTCTTGACGCTCATTTCATACAAAATAAAAATAAATTATTCAAATTATTCAAAATTTAAAGTTGATGGATTCAAAATTTCAAAAATAAAAGGGGTGGTTAGTTTGAAATCTATTCCTCAATCAAGAATCACCTCATTAATGAAAATTGATGATTTAACAAAAAGAATAGAAGAGATTGAAGAAAGAATGAATCAAATAATTGATTTCATAAATTCAAATAATCATTAATTTCTTAAAGTTCAATGTTGAACTCATCAAATTCTTTTTAAAGTTTATTTTTTTATTTCATTATGGTAGTGAATCTTTTATTCATGAAAATAATTATTTCTAATTTCTTTTACTCGTTTATGAGGTCTTTGATTATGACTCCATTGCTTCCATTCAGGATTTAAACAATGTTTAATTAATCGCGGAATATCTGACATCATCTATATATAGCTTCTTTTATAAAAGATGAAATAAATTATTTTAAAATTAATGTTAATTTTTTAATGTGTTTATGTTTGGGCTGAGTGTAAATGTCTTACAATTTTGAAAATTTTTTAAATCTTGATTTATTCAAAAACGTAAGAATAAAAACCGTAAGAATCATACATTTTTTACTTCATATGTTAAAAAAAATGATATAAAATCGCTCGATATTGTATGAATTCTTACGTTTACAAAAAAAGTCACACAACCCTTCCTATCCTACTACTATTCATATTTTTTACAAGCATTGATGTTTTTAAGGCTGTTTGTTGAGATTCCTGTTATTTCTCCCATAGAGTATGCATACATTGAAAATAAAAATCTCTGAAAAGAAACATTTCTTAAAAAAAAAACTTCATTGAATGACTTATCTGAGTACAATTGGCGATAGCTTTTGGAACAGCTGCAGAAAGGTAGAAAATTACGAAAAAAACTTCAAAGATATATTCAGTTATTTCCTCAGATGGACAGAACCTCATATTGTTGTAGAACTTTGCTTAGTTATACTAGCAATTCTGCCATTGATATTCAAAACCCGATCAACTGAATCATATGTCAAAATATCTAGACTCTACAATGTTTCAAGACTTTCGATTTTAACATTATTTCACCGAATTCTTTACATTTACGTTATAATTATACCCCTTGGTTACCTTCTTGGTAAACCTCCGCCATGTACCGCTATAAGGATCGGCTATTCAGCAGCTTTTTATAGATTATACACTTTTCCGTTTCCAAAGCTAAGTTCTCTACTTCTTATTTTGTTTTACGTAGGCTCTTTAATCACAATATCTAAGCCGTGGGCCAATATTGTCATTCATTTAATTGCACTTTTCTTTACAACTCATTTCATCATAGTTGGAGACGCTTCTATATCACAAGCATTATTTACATTTTCATTAGTTTACATTTTGAACTTCTATTCGCAAAGAGTTCGACTTTCTGTTCTTCATATTGAAAATGCTGCCTTTATCATACTAATTAGCGTACTATTTTCATTGAAAGGGAATTCCTTACTTTCAGAAGAGAAAATAGATTTCACTGGCCGAATGATTTCCGCAATCACTTTACTAGTTATCGACGAATATATGTTAATTAGGTACCAATACACTAGATATGGCTATGCGAGTGTTGGCAGGCCAATTGATATCGGATTGGAGACTGGATCTAACGAGGAAGGCAAGTATTTCAGTGTTTTATCATCTGAAGAAGAAATTGCTTTTTCTAAGAATTTGATCAATGATATTTTCGACTCTTTCGTTGCCACTTTCTTCTTCCTGATCGGCCTTTACATACGACACCAAATAACAGGTGTTATCAAACCATCATTGCATGGTTTGCTTTAATATTTTTTTATTTATTTATTAAAAGATTTCTGTTTGATGTAAATTAAAGAATTTTTCTTATAAATCTAATTATCCGAGCCATTTAAGTATATCTATAGCTATAGAGTTCGATAAAATCATTATGAATTTATGTGAGATCTAATCTTCAGACAAATTTAAATCAAAGTACAATCTTTGGATACGTTCAAGAATTAATTGAATAATTGAACTAAAAGTTATGTCTCGGGATATTTCGCTACTTCGGGTATTTAAAAAAAAAAAAAACATGCTCTTCTCAGAAAAATATTTCTGATGTTGAGAAGTATTTTAATTGAATTGGCACTCCTATCATTTTTGGACACTTAATGGTATTTCAATTTCATTGATTTGTGCGCTCCAAAATGTTGAATTTACTATGTCTAAAGGATGACAATAGAATGAACTGCACATACAGAAAGAAGAATACATCAGGGAAATGATCCTATTTTCTACTTGCATGATTTAATTTTCTGACTCTTTCTTCCCTATTCTATGTAATTATCTTATATCAAAAACTCTTAAATCCTATGCTCATTGATCCTTTTGCAATTCCATTCTAATCCCAAGATTTTGGAAAAGTTCTTTTTACATTATATAATATATGTCTCATTATATCCACACTTGGAAGACATATTAAAATATCGATTTATGGTTTGAACAAATTTAAATTTAGTGAAAATGTTTATTTAGAAACAATAGAAACAAGAAAAGATAAGATATTATTTTGCTTGTTGTTAAATTTGATTTCTTCTTCTTCTTTTTCTTTTGTATGATTTTCTTTCGCAAATCTTAGATCTGATGAACATAAACTAGTAAAATGGTTATTTTCTGGATATTTTGAATCTACTCTCTTTGTTATTGTGACAATTCCTTTTTTACCAGGATTTGAAGTATCAAAATAACATCCTTTGACTCGAATTTGACTGTAATATGCATAGAAATAATGTTCTTTGATGCTATTATTATAAAAACTGCAATTAATGACATAAATATTAATAGGATAACAATAAATAAGTCTATCGCAAGCATTTTCAATGAAATTACAAAAAAGAATTGTAAATTCATATGGAGATGATTTAAAATGAGTTGATTGAGCGTCATGGTCTTTTGATGTGCAGTTTGAAAATGTCGAAAGTGTTGCGTTTGAGTTAAAACTAAAAGTTACAAAGTAAAAATTTCCGGATTTCAGTTTTGAATATGAAACATTAATTGATTTAAGATGTGTTTCACCATTTTTCAAATAAATATTATGTTGTCCTTCTGTGCCTTGGCTAACGCTTGATGAAATTGTTGAATCAAGGAGAGAATTCTTAAATTGAGATGTAGATGAAACTGTATCAGAACAGTATGCGCCAGAACCTGATGTTCTAGAGCCAAAACTGCAGATTCGGTCTTGAATACACTCACCCTGAGTGGAATTTACGTATAAAGAGCCGCCACCGTCACTCTTGTGTCTGCATTCGGTAAATGAGCTCGTGTCAATGAGGAATTTAAGATTGTTGCTTGTTGTGTCTGTGATACGAACTGCACCTGTCTCATTGAGGTAAACAAAGAGACAAAGAGATATGTAGTAGCTCTTGTCAGCATTAATACTAAAGTTTTCGTTTTTGTTTTTGTATGGTTCGTATTCGATTGAAGAATCGAAGAAATCTTCCCACGCTTCGTGATGGAAAGAAGGAAATATATGGAATAGATGAATCTACTAAGTGTGAAAATCATTATTTCAATCATTTTCCGCCTTGATCTAGGAATGAAATGATAGAATTTCGAAAGAAAGAAAAATCTTAGATTTTTGATAAATTTTGTAATTTTGTGAATAACAAAAAGTGCAAATTACTCTGTAAATATTTGAAATTCTTTTGTTATTATAGCATAACTATATAGTACATATAAATAAGTTTTTACTACATAGCTTGCATGGTCTAATATCTTTATCTAGAAGTGAAATAATGATTGCAAAGATTGATCTTTCAAATGTATCAAATAACTTTTTTTTGAGCTCACATCAATAGCACTTAAGGAATGTTATATATATACATAGACCTATTTTTCCTAATAAGCCAAAGCATGAGAATAAATAACAATTGCATTCGATGCTTTTCTAAAAAATTCATGCCTTCAATGTAAGATAAGGAGTTGGTTAATTATACATTAAAAAATGAAAATACTACTTATGCTTATATGAATCCAATATCTAGTTCATTTATTAAACACTTCCAATGAGCAAATTATAAAGTAAATAGAAATAAATTTTAATAAACAAACTATTAAATAAATTGATGCAAGTAACTCATCTAAATGTTATGAAATATACAAAATAATAACATAATAACAGAAAACTAAAGAATCTTTCTATTTGCAGCTCGTTGTCTAAATACTGATATTACTTCAACAATGACAATTGGGAATAAAATTAATATTGGAAGAATTTTTGCAATAGACTTCAAAGCGATGCCAAAAGGTACAAATAACCAGTTAGGATCATATTCTGGATCATTTGGATTACCTACAATTAGTATTTTTATTTTTGGTAATTTAAGGGTACACTTACGCCCCTACGACACGGCCTTCAATTCAGATGTTTAAGGTTAATTTTGAATGACGCTTCACGCGGTTGTCAAAAATTTGAATTAAAGTCAGATGGGCGTAAGTGAAGCCTTAAAAAAATTTTTTAACAATAAATGAAGAAAATGAGTTTTTTAAATCATCATTAGTTTATTCAATCAAAATTTCAAAACCTGTTTTAAGTATGAGTCTATTATAGAAACATGATTGAGCGATCTAAAAGTAGGGTGAAAATGTTTATTTAGAAACAAGAGAAACAAAAATAACTAAGAAATTAAATTTATTTTTCCGTTTTTTGTTAACTTTGAATTCTTTTGAAAATTCAAGTTTTAGCTTTGCAAAACATAAACCTGTAGACAAATGAGAGTTTTCTGGATAAATTGAATCTACACTCTCTATTATTGTGACATTTTCCCCTTTACTAGGATCTGAAATGTCAAAATAACAACTCTTAACTTCAAGTCGATTGGAACTTGCATAGAAATAATATACGTTGATGGTATTTTTATTAAAGCTGCAATTAATGATATAGCGATTCTTAGTACTGAAAATAAGTCTATGGCATTCGTTTTTAAAGTAATTACAATAAAGAATTTTAAATTCTATCGAATCAGATGATCCTTGATGTCCTGCTTCAGAATTCCCTGATGTAGATGTGTTGTTTGAAAATGTTGAAAGAGTAATGCTTGAATTAGAACTAAAATAAACTTCATATAAATTTCTGTATCCTAGTTTTGAATATGAAATATTGATTGATTTAATATTTATTTCTCCATTGAACAAGCGAATATTATATTTTCCTTCTTTGTTTTCTTCACCACTTGAAGAAATTGTTGAATCAAGGATATAATTCTTATATGGAGAGGTAGATGAAACTGTTACAGAACAGTACACGCCAGCTTTTGGTGTTCTGGAGCCAAAACTACAGATTCGATCTTGAATACACTCACTTTGATTAGAACTTACGTATAAAGAGCCACCTTCGTCACTTGTATGCTCGCATTTGTCAAATGAGCTGGTATCAATGAGGAATTTAAGACTGTTGCCTGCTGTTTCTTTGATTCGAACTGCACCTGTCTCATTAAGGGAAATAAAGAGACAAAGAGAGACGTAATAGCTCTTGTCAGCATCGATACTGATATTTTTGGTTTTGTTTCTGTATGGTTCGTATTCGATTGAAGAGCTGAAGAAATTTTCCCACTCTTCGTGAGAAAAAGAAGGAAATATATGGGATTGATGAATGTGCTAAAGCTGGATATCATTATTTCAATCATTTTTGCTTTGATCTAGAAACAAAATGGTATTAATTCGAAAGAAAAAGCTTACTTTTGTTTGTAACATTTTTTGAAAATTGTCAATTTTCCAAGTTTTCATATAATTATAATCATCCTTAAGAATGATGTCATTCTATTACAAAAGGAGTATATTTGTGATAAACACTTGAAAGAATTTCAATGTGCTCACAAAAAATTTTTGCAACGTTTTTGAAATAAAATTTAAAATTCTCTAGTATACGATTATTTTTGATTTAATTGCTGTTCGACATTAAAAGCAAAAATAATCACATACTAGAGAATTACTCTTTTCCGACATTTTTGGGTCACTTCGCGCCTCTGACAAAAAGTTGGAAATGTGTGAACTTTGCAACGTTTATGGGCCTAAAGAATCTTTCTATTTGCAGCTCGTTGTCTAAATACTGATATTACTTCAACAATGACAATTGGGAATAAAATTAATATTGGAAGAATTTTTGCAATAGACTTCAAAGCGATGCCAAAAGGTACAAATAACCAGTTAGGATCATATTCTGGATCATTTGGATTACCTACATTTAGTATTTTTATTTTTGGTAATTTAAGATTTTTTCCAAGATCAAAATCACATCTATTCAAAGAAGGTTGTGCATCACAGTTAACTTCTATCCTTTTTTCAAGTGAAAATTTGCAACCTATCAATATCAAACTGCAGCTTTTTCTTGATCTAATTGACCAAAAATTGAAATTTGCTGATTCAGAAAAAATCGAATTTAAAATCGAAACTGTTGACTTGTAACCTGTTGCTTCAACGCATGAACCACCTCCACCAACAATATCTTGGAACATGCACTTATGGAAGATCGAATCCAAAAGTTCGCCTCTATTTACTGCATCAAAATAAATCGATCCTGAACCTTTCTTTATCATGTTTTTGACAACAATCAAATGTTTCAAATATGCTGATGGTGCTGAAACGAACATGGCCGCTCCATCTTTAGTACAGCTACACCTCGTGAAATTGTTTTCTTGAGATTGAATTTGGATATTCGAATGGGAATCGTAAACGCCGCCTGTTTCTGCTGCTGACATTAGATCAAATGAGGTATCATTCATCGAAAAGCATGCGTATTGGTTGTATAAAGCGCCGCCTTTTTGGGCATTATTTTTCTGGAAAAGAGATTTGTTGATGTAGAGATCGGAATATACGCAGATGCATCCACCTGTATATGCTCCACACTTTGTAAATGTGCATCTTGAAACAAGAGTCTCGCATAAAGAAAAGATTGCACCACCTGGTGCATTATCTTGAATACATTCGTAAAAATGGGAATCTGATATATCTAGTATTCCTGTTGCAAATGATTCGCGTCTTCTTTTCCAATTTTCACCTTGGATCAATATTAAATCTTCGTTTGATTCTGTAAATATATGCTTGTTGAGAGTTTGAGTAATTGGTGATTTATTATTTTGCTGTCTTATTTCATTCGTATTTGAAAATTTAGATATTGATTTAAAATTTGAAAGCTTTATCTTTGAACTCTCTAGAGAATTAGTGCTCTGCGTTTGTGGAATCGATAACTGTGGATGATTTTCTAATTTGACAAACGTTAACAAATTCAATGAAACAATCTGAATCAACATTAAAAGAAAATGACAAAACTACTAAAAATTATTGTAAAGAAGTAAACGATAGTCTAATAAATCAAAGGAAACTTAATGGTTCGGAGATATTCACAAATAAAATTATATGAAAGTTGCTTTCAGAAGCCATAATAAGTGATTTTATGATATTTATGGTATGGGAAGTAATTAATTAAAAGATTTTAGTTAAAATATTATAATCGAAATCATGTTATAAACAATTTTTATTACAAACAATGTTTTTTGAAATATACTACATACGGCCGGTTTTCGAAAGCGGCCTACGAATGCTGCGCGCTGTTTTCACGCCTCTACTTGATAATTGAGTTGCTGGCCTTTTTGTTGGCGTAAGTGGGCCATCAGGAAGGTATTTATCCTTTAATTCATCTATATTTACTTCTTCAAGATTGAGATCTGAAAGAATTGTATTTAATTGTGCAATTATATCTAATTTTGTCGCAACTAAGACTTTTCTTGTAGTTTGCGCCATGAATCTGTTATGAGATGCGCTGTTTAGCTGATTCTGATATATTTCGCTCTGATCTAAAAGCTCTGCCACGTTGGCAGTACTTGAAATCGATTTTTTGGTTCGATTAGAAGTGTCTGGTTTACTTTCTTTAGCATAATTCTGATCTTCGAAGTGTTTATTGACTTCTGATCTGAGTTTTAGTCGTTCTCTATTTATAATCTGATATTGAGAATTTATCATATTTGCGTCCATCCATTCATCGCTCGTAAGTAGGGAGTAATACTCTTGATTCAAATCATGTATTTCTTTCTGTGTTGACTCTAAATCATGCGTTAATCGCTCTACAGCAACGTAAATTTGTGATCTTTCTCTTTCTAGTTGTGCAAGATATACTGGTTGAGTTCTTTCTGAAGCTTCAGTAATTTTTTCTTCTATATTGCTAATTTCGACAGTAAGTTTCGCAATTTCTTTATTAAGTCTTGAATTTTCGCCAGTTGTAGCTGAAGCTCCGCCTAATGACGAAGCTAGTGCTACTGCTTGCTCTTCTCTATTCGTAAGTGCTTCATTTACCTCGCGATACTCGTTTTGGATTTCTTCAAGTTCTTTTTTCACTTTAGAATGCTCTCTTTTTGTTTGTAGATAATCAGATTGTAGATGTTCTGCCTCCTTGAACTCATCTCCACCTCTCCAGTAGAATTGCGGAGCTTGATAAGTCCCAGGAGGGAAAATCAGCCCACAATGTCGCCTAGTCATTCTGAAAATTTTTATCAAAAAGTGACAAATATAAAAATTTTAGCTAGTGATCTCGATTTTAATGGAGAAAATTGTTAATGACTAGTAGTAATTTCTTTTCCTTTCATTTATGTCATATTATGCCAATTAATTTCCAATAATTTTAAGAATAGTAATCTCTAAATCTGGTACTATCCTATTACTCTCCTTAGAAAGGTATAACACTTGATATTGCATATGCTAATCATGGATGAAAAAATTGCTTGAATAAATCTCTGCTTACTAGTTATAATTGTGGGATATATATACTTATATCGTATAGTTATGCTGAATTGCTTTATATGTCTATCTCTCAACAACAAAAAATTGTTAGTCTACATTTTCTCTCAAAATTGGTCTTCTGTTCTTGGATTTTGAGAGTACCTACTAATATTATTAAAGATTATTATAACGGTTTTTTGATTTGTTGCATATATAAAAAATAATTATGAGTAATTGATATATTATATCATAAATCTCAGCTCATTCAGTATCTTGTGTTACAATCTATTTAATAATCATATTAACTTTCAATTTTCTTATTCACTTTTCGACCATAGAGTTACAAAATTATCGTCGCATCATAGTAAAAATTTTTAAAAATCAGATGTTCATTAAGCGGGTTACGATCACAGGATTCAAGTCTTATGGCAAAACAACGACATTTGATGATCTGTCGAAGGGTCTGAACACGATAATAGGCTTTAACGGCTCAGGAAAATCGAATTTATACAAAGCAATCGAATTCGTATTATTAGACGAGTACGCAAAGCTCACGCCTACAGAGAGACTAGCAGTATTACACGAAGGAGCCGAAAGCAAGGCCAAAAAGGCCACGATTGAGGTAGTTTTCGATAATACAGCCCGAAAGATACCGATTAACGAGAACGAAGTAGTATTTAAGCGAGTAGTTGAAGAAGACAAAGACGAATTCTACGTTAACGAGAAGAAAAAGTCCAGAACTGATATCCATAATTTATTAGAGTCATCAGGCTTCAATCCGCAGAACGGATACTACATTGTACGCCAAGGCAAGGTTAACCAGCTTGCTACAATGCGCGATTCCGAAAGATACGACTTAATATGCGATATTGCCGGTACAAAGTTCTACGATGAGCAGAAGAAAGAGTCATTGACATTGCTCGATAAGACCAAAGGCCAGATCTCCCAGATTGATGACTCCCTCAAGTTCATAAAGGAAAGAATCGATCAATTGGAACAAGAAAAAGTGACACTCGAAAATTTTGAGAGTTTACAAAATGATCGTAAATCCATTGAATTTATATTACAAAGAAGAAAAGAAGAGAAAGAGAAAAAAGAGCAAGAAGAGTACATAAAAGAGTTGGATGAGCTCATGACGAAGCTTATGGAACTCCAATCACAAAACAAGCAAAACAAAGAAGAAATCGAACAATCCAAAGCGAATTTCGAAGATATCACGAAGAAACTCAATGAGCAATACAAGGAAAAGGCCAAGCAAGAAGATTTCAAATTAGATATCTCCAAGAAACTCATCAAAGAAGAGAATAATCTCGATATCGCGAAGAATCAACTGAAACAAGCTGAAGATTCCAAAGAAAGACTCCAGAAGAAGATAGAAGAGATTGATAACGAGATTGACACTAAAAACCAAAGAATTTCGGAGTTATCAAAGAAGATCAATGAAATTAACAACGAAATTGCATCAAATGAAGCTAATTCTGCTGATTTCGATCCACAAGAAGCAGAAAAAGAGATCAAAACTCTTGAAAATTCATTGATTGAAAACAATTTTTCTGATTTTGATCTAAAATCAGAAATTGAAGAGCAAAAACAGAAAATTATCAATGAAAAAGAAGAAATAAAGAAGATTAATGATGAAACATCGCAAATCTCTGAAGAAATGAACACACAAAACATGAATCTTATTAAAACAGAAGACAAAATCGCAGAAATCAACAGTGATATTCGTATTTTGAAAGAAAAAATACAAAATGTCACAATGAAGTTGAATAATAAGATTCCTTACAATATTTCTGTATCTATCAACAGAATCAATGATGAAATGAACAATGAATTTTCTTTGTTTTGTGATCTGATCAAAGTCAAAGACAAAAAATATGAAAAAGTCATTGAAACCGTTTTAGGATGTCACCTTTTTGATGTTATCGTCGCAAATGACGAACTCTCCGACAAATTGCAAGGAATTGTCAATAGCAATGATGAAGGAAAAATAACTGTCTTTCCACTTGAAAATTTGACATTTCCTCAAAAAAGTGATAATTATTTGAAAAGTGACAATTTGCCAAATACTTCCAATTTCATCAGATTGATGGACATGATTGATATTGATGATGAAAAGATGAAGAAATTGTGCGAAACAGTTTTTGGTGGAATATTTTTTGTTGATGAAATTGACATGAATGATAAAAATGTTGTAGACAATGATGGTTTATTTATTGACAAAAACGGAATTGTTGTTTTGCAAGATGAAAACTATTTTGGTGTTTTCGATTTGATTTCGCAGAAAAAGGAATTGGAAAATCAACTTGAAGTCAAAAATGAATTTCTTGTCACTTTTGAAGAAGAAAAATCACAAATTCAAAATTCCGTTGATAATTTACAAGAAAAAATGAGTGAATTATCGAAAGAAAAGAACCAAATGATCTCCAGGATGAAAGATGATGAAAATCACCTCACTTCACTTGATCAACAATTGACTTCACTTCGCAAGAAATCTGACACAGTCAATCAGATCAACAACGACATAAAATCCAAAATAGAAAATCTCAGAACAAAAATTGAGAATTCAAAACGTGACAGCAGGAAGAAAAGTGTCAAAAAGATCAGTGAACAAAAACTTGGAGAGATGAAAGAGAAAGTTAATAAAATGAGTGAAGAAAAAGAGAATTTGATGAATGACATTCATTATAAATTAGAAATGATTCGAAACCAAATCAAAGAAGATGTTTCTAATTTAAAGATCGATTCCTATGAAAACGAAATCGAAAAAGAAGAACAAAACTATAAGAAACATCTCAGAGAAAATGAATATTTCTCTCAAAGAATTGAAACAATTTCTCATCAAATTCAAAGTTTGGAAGAAAAATCAAACGAAATCGAATCATTTTTGTTTTCTTTGCAAGAGAAAAATGAAAATAATGAGAAAGATATTGATTTCATTCAAAAGAAAATCAATATAATCCAGAAATCCATCAAACCAATTTCATCAAAACACGAAAACGCAAAAATTGATGAAAAATTTGTAAATTTAACCGATCGAGAATTGAATGAGAAAATGCGGTTTGTCAAAAAAGAGATGAGCGGAATCAAGTACGTTAATTACAGTGCAAAAGAAGATTTCGATGAATTCTCTGATAGACAGACGAAATTGATGGAAGAAAGAGAAAAATTGAATGAAAATGAAGAAAAAATCAACGAAATGATCTCGAGATTGGACAAAGATCGAGATAAAACACTGAATGAAACATTCGAAAGTGTTTCTAAACATTTCAATGAGTATCTTTCAATCATCACCAATTTGGATGTGAAATTGAATTTGAATAATGAATCAAAAGAAGTCAGTCTTTTGATTGAAAACGTTGAAAATGTTTCTCAACTCAGTGGAGGACAGAAATCTATTGTTGCAATCTGCTTGGTATTTTCCATGCAGGAAATCTTCGGAGCTCCATTCTACATCTTCGATGAATTCGACAGCGCATTGGATATCGAACACAGAGCAAATTTGTGTAAATTAATCAAAAAATTGTCAGAGTCGTCTCAATATATTGTAACGACTTTCAAAAGTGACATTTTGGACTATTCGAATCGACTTTTCCAGCTGTCATTCAGTAACAACATGTCGCAAGTCAGGGCTATCAATAATGAAGAAGCCCACCAAATTATCAATTCCTAAATTTATTGGAATTTTTTCCACATTCAATTTTTGAGATGCATTCAAAGTAAAAGATATTGGAAAAATATAACAAAACATGGGGAAAAAATTAATAAACATTTCTAATTTTTTTTCGTTACTATTTTGTGATTGGAATTTTTCATTTCTTTATACATGATTTCAATAATAAAAAAATCACGATCACATAATAATCCTGATAAAATTTTCTTGACTCAAAATTTTGTTTGCCTCAAAAATTTTGCCATCAAAAATCAAGTTCATTTTTAATAATGTCGAAGCAATTGACCAAGGTCTATTACAAACTTGACACAAAAGAAGATCAGTGTAATATGAAAAACCTTGGATTTGAGAAATTTTATGGATGGCTCCAAAAAAATGATTTTGATGAAACATTAAAATCACTTGAAACACGCATCATCCAGGGATATGAAGATATAGTTGCCACAAGGAATTCATTTTCAATGTGTATTTCCTTTTATGATCATAATGATGCAAATTCATTCAGAAGATATATGTCATATAGGGAATTTGAAGGAAATGCGAGGGCAGTAGCTTTTTGGTATGGAATTTGTCCTGCGCATGAAGTTATTGTTAGAAATGTACCTCTTGATAGCACTCGTCGAACCATTTTTGAAAAATTTGAAAATTATGGTAACATTGGTCGAGTAACTCCATGTAAAACTAATCCATCTGTTTATTGGGTTGCTTTCATTAGTTCCAAGGGTGCGAAAACTGCAATTGCAAAGGAAACAAATATTTCATCTGCAAAAGGCAATAAATTTGAAATCCCAAGTCTAGCATCCGAGAGATAAGAATATTATGTTTGAACTTTTATATGTAAAATCTAAATATTTTATTATTTGAATAATAATTTCCTGTTGATGTTATTCAAACAATTCAATTTTTTCCATCATGATAAATCTTTGAGCAGATGTGTCATTTAATGACACGAATCCCAAAAAAATAGTTATTTTGATTATTATATTAGATTTTAGAGAAAAATTGAAATTGTGATTTTTTTGAGAGACTAGATTGTGAGTTTTGTAAACAAATTGGCTATCACAACAACCGTATTTAAACAGGAGAAAGCATTATAGAGACAAGAATACCAATATCATCAATCCGAAATTTATGAAATATTGAAGTTTTATGCCACAAGATTAATTGAATTGGATAACAAGAATTCTCAACATATGTGTGTCTTATTTTAAAAGAAATGAAGCGAATATTTTTTTGGAAAAAAGAAGGGTCCAGGACGATAGAAATGGTCCTAAGTATTAAATAGAAAAAAATGGCTCGCAAGATCGATTCCATCGTTATTGTAATAGGTCTCCCAATTACAGACGAATCTAAGATTGATCAGATGAGTGGCTATTTTCTTAATTTAGTTAAGCCTCTCGATCCAGAACTTACAAAAGAAAAAATCGAAGTTCCAACACAAGATGGCAAAACTATCGGCGCACTTTTCATTGTTTGCAAGGATTCTGATTCTGCCCGTAGATTAGCTTTTATTGGAGACTACATGCAGTTTGATAAGAAGAATCGTCTAAGAATGTTCATCAACAATGACTACAAAAAGTACATTGATTCAACAAACGCACCAGAACAAATCGCAGTTGCTAAGCCACCGTCAACACCTGTTGAGTTTTCATGGTATTATACTCAGCCAGATATGTTTGATCAAATTGTTTACTCAGCTGCTGGTTTCCCACATGTCTGCTGGTTCAACCACAACACAGCTAAGTTACAACAAATAGAACTTCCACAATACATTCAGAAATCAAATGATGTCTTCTTTACAAACGATGGCTCCTTCTTTGTCACATATTCCGGCAACAAGCTCAATTTCTACGCTGGTGAACAATGGACCCATTTCACAACCCTTGAATTCCCAGATCTCAGAGATTATCTCAATTCTCCATGCGGCCGTTTCATGCTCTGCAAGTCCCTCATTCCTGTTGAGACCGACAACAAGAACTCTCCAAACGGCGCCTGCATTTACGATATTCTTACGGGAAAGAAGCTTGTTCGCATTCCATTGAACAGAGCCGACTTCAACCAGATCATGTTCGGCGCTGGCTCCCATCTCATCGCCATGATTGAGAAGAAAGTCATGTTATACAAAGCCCGTGAATTCAAGGAAGTCATTGAGCTCTGTTCCGATGCAGATTCCTTCTCTGCCTCTCCAGCCACAAAACTTGTCTTCACATTCCGTGGCCAGAGAGAAGCCGCTCCACCAAGAAACGCATTCTACAACACAGAGAACGGCCAACCAGTTCACGTCGTTGCCGCCTTCAATGCTACATCAGCTACAGCCACATGGCATCCAAAGCTTGCTCTTTGCTGCGTAATTCAAAACAGAATTGTCAAATCTTGCGATCAGTCATCCATCATCATCTACGACCTTACAAACGAAGCATCCATTGGTTCCTTCACAGAAGAAATCAAGGGTACCGTTAATTCCTGCGCCTGGGACCCAAGTAACAAACATATCGCCTGCATCATTGCAACATCCTCCGGAAGACAGTTAATCATCTACGACGTCGACAAGCAACTTACAAAGGTATTCCAGCACCCATGCGGCGGCGTCTCCAACATTACTTTCTCTCCGGCCGGAAGATTCTTCATCTGCGACGATATCAAGGCACAGCAGCCAATTGTCCAGTTCTGGGATACAGAAGCCGGTGTCATTGCATCAAAGAACAACCTCGAAGGTGTCGGCAGAATCGAGTGGGACTCATCCGGTGCTTTCGTCATCATTTCAGCTACTCCTTCTCCAGGAGGTCCTTCGTGGTTCGCGATCTACCTTCTCGATGGAAACCAGGTCTGCAAGGAACGCGTAACAAATGTCGGAAGAGTTCTCTGGAGACCAAGAGCTGGTGAGGCACTCCTAACAAAGGAGGATTTGGACGCAATTGATAAGGAGGCAGAAGAAATTGTCGAAAAGTCAACAAAGTTCGGAACAATCGACTTGAAGGCAAAGGAAGACGATGCAAAGGCCGCTAAAATCCAGAACCTTCAGAACTGGAGAAGATTGGCACCAAAGAGAACGTTCGGTGCTTCTAGCAATAAGAACGACTATACAACAATCGAGTTCACTGATTACAAGGAATTTTAAAAATAGAGTAAAATCTTATTTTTTGATTTATTTAACGACAAAAAAATTAATAAATTTTTTTACTAAATATCGATATATGGCGAGGACATTGTTATGGGAAATAGAGTTAACAAAAGTGAGATAGTGGTGAGAATCTCCTTAAGGATGAATTTATAGCATTAATGTTCTTTTTGTAGTCATTATTGATAAACATTCTTAGATGATTCTTCTTATGGAACTGCATGTAGCCTCCAATAAAAGGTCCATTTGTCACACATGTTGATATGGATGTGAGAGCACTCTTAAATATATAGAGATTATTCCGTGTTGGAATCGAACATATTCATTTATAAAAATCATTTTGTGTATCTGACAAAAAGACAAAATGTTTGAATTTGGGAATGATTGCAGAATGGAGTTTGCCTGAGACCAGATTGAAAGGAATCTTTTAACTAGTTTATTGTTTATTTTCGGTGATATTTCACAACTATTTTGATGAAATTTGATATAAAGTCATATGGGCCTATGCACGCCCATAAATTATTATCAAAAATTTATTTTCTTTTGATTTTTTAAGTGAATGTGTAATGCCGGAGAAACATATTTGGCTGATCTTCGGCATACATTCAAATCAAGCAGAATAATTCCAGCACGCTATAGTGATAATTTTGAAATTTTCATTGATATTGATTATCAATCAGATAAATATTTAGAGTTGATCAATGCCTTTAAGTCTAAATCATCAAAAAAGAAAGGAGTTATGAAGATCGAGAACGAAATTCCGGAAAAAAGAGAAGAAGTTAAAAATGATTCCCAAAATAAGAAACAGTTACAAGAAATAAAACCGCACGAACCAACTAAAATCACAAAATCACAAGTTACAGCCGAAATCAAGCCAATTAAAATGAATATTGAAATTCCTAAACCACAAATTGAAGTAAAACCAGAAGAAAATAATTCAAATGAAGCTAACATTAGTAATAGTACCGTTGTTGAAACTCATACAGAAAAGAAACAAGAAACAGAAAATCCATCTCCAAATCCTAAGAAACCATGGTCTCCAAAGCGTGATTCAATTGTCCCTTTACAGAATGAACAAGAGTTGAAGAATATTACTGATGATTTAATATCATATGATCTAGATGCACCAAAAATTGTTCAACAAAGGCAAGTTAAATCGATTCCAATAGAAATAGGAACATTTACTAAGCAGATTTCGCTTGAATCTACTATTTCTTTTACGATTGAAGTCTCAGATCAGAAAAAATACATTCAATACAATTTAGTAGATGAAATATCGAAAAATATTGTACTATTTGCTAAAAGGGACTCATCTATAAGCGGTTGCAACTACTTAATTTACTCTATTGAAAATGTACAGACTCCAATCGCTCAAATTTCGTCAAATTTCACCAGATCGTCATTTGTTACTACAACTATGCAGAATGGTGAACTAAGAGAGATTTGCGCATTAGATTTCAAATCCAGCTTCAAAAACGTGAAACCGACCAAACAATTTTTGGCTGTAATTCCTGAATACAGAGATGACATTCCAAGTGGTTATTCTCTATTAAAGAATGATAACCTTGTGATAAAGATGATGCCAAAACCTCCTAAAATGAAAGGAGGAATTCCAGTTTTGAGATTTGGCGGAAGAGTAAAAATGGAGTCTGTAAAGAACCATATTCTCGTGAAACCAGATGACACTGATACAAATATATTGATTTTTGGAAAAGTTACAGAATCAACTTATGCAGGCGATGCCTATTATCCTTTGACGCCTCTCCAAGCATTTTGTTTATGTCTTCCTCATTTTAAATAAATTGTTTGTATTTACTTTATATTATATCAGACCATATATTTTGTTTATGTCTTCCTCATTTTAAATAAATTGTTTGTATTTACTTTATATTAAATCAAATCATATATTATTCTTTTGTTTTTCTCATTTTAAATAAATTGTTTGTATTTACTTTATATTATATCAAATCATATATTATTCTTTTGTCTTTCTCATTTAAAATAAATTGTTTGTATTTACTTTATATTATATCAAATCATATATTAGTAGTATATGTGGAAGGGTTTTGTGACTTTTTTTGTTACGTCTATATATAGATGAAGGTATATTTTCACATCTTCTATATATAGATGATATAAAAATTTTTTCTTACGTTTTTTAAGTCATGAATTCGTAAGAAAGCGCGACATTATTAAATAAATTAGTAATAAATATTATATACTAAACACATTTTAAAATATATTTATAAATCATTAAAAAATTAACATTAATTTTAAAATATATTTATTTATAAATCATTAAAAAATTAACATTAATTTTAAAATATATTTATTTATAAATCATTAAAAAAATTAACATTAATTTTAAAATAATTTATTTTTTTATCTTTTATAAAAGAATCTATATATAGATGATGTCAGATATTCCGCGATTAATTAAACATTGTTTAAATCCTGAATGGGTTAAACTTCAATTTAAAAATGAAGATTGTGAATTATTAAATGAATATGAAAGCCAAAATAAGCTAATGAGGTATAAATATAATGATAAAGAATATTTAATTTCATGGAATCAATGGAGTCATAATCAAAGACCTCATAAACGAGAAGAAGAAATTGAAAATAATGAAATGGAAATCATTGATGACATTAAAGAGTATGGAATTCCTAAATTTTGTAGAAAAACCTTTAGAACTAAGTTAGGAGCATATAAACGTAGAGTATTAAATCCTGAATATCTTAAACATCAATTTAAAAAGGAAGACTGTGAATTATTAAACGCTAATGAATATGAAAATGCTAAATCAAAACTGAGATATAAATATATTGGAAGTGATGAAAGGTGTAAAGATAAAGATAAAGTTTATTCAGTTTCATATAATAACTGGCACACGTTAGGGATAAGAAAACATTTAGGAGATTATGGGAAATGTTCTGAATTCTTTAAATCTAGTATGTACGAGAGAGTAAAAGAAATTAGAAATAATTATTTTCATGAATAAAAGATTCACTACCATAATGAAATAAAAAATAAAATTTTTTTAAAAGGGCGCGTAAAGGGTTGGCGTCCTAAGGCGTCCTGATGTAAACTATTCAATTTTTAAGAAGTTTACACCATAATTGAATAGTTTATGGCGTCCTGAGAAGAGATTTCAATGGGTATGGCGTCCTAAAAAAATAGAAGAAAATGATTTTTTCTCGATTTTTCTAGAAATTGAATTTTTTAAAAAAGAAAAAAATCAAAACGTATACATTCAAGAAAGACTATAAATGAAGATTTTTCTATTTTTTTTCATTCTAAAACATCTTTTTTTGGATAATTTTTTTTTTAATAAATATGTAAGAAAGATTGAAGAAAAAGTAAATTTACTTTAAGAAAATTCGTTTTACATGATGTAAGACCCATAACAACTATAAATATTCAATTATTTAAAATAAAAAAGAAAAACAGATTAAATGTATCTCACATCAAAATCCATTGACCTAAGGATGTTAAGTTTCTGTTTTTAAAAGTTGATATTTTTTTTTAATTTTAAGAAAATTAATAGCATGTTATTAGACAATAGGAGTGTAATGATATTGACTAAACAGAAATGAGAGAATAGAGATATAATTTTGATAAGCAATATTGCGAACAAATTCTGAAGTAAAATCGCGATCAATAATTGAAAATTACGATCATGTACTGAAAAATGACGATCAAATTGAATGAATAGAATTATATCTAAGAAAAAATAAATTGTATTTAGAAGATGAACAAAGAAAGGTGTATGCTAAAAATCATTTAACAATAAATGGAAATAAAACGAAATTGTTAAAAGAAAAAAATGAAAATTGTTAAATAATATATTATTTTTTAGTCATAAGAATAAAAATATAGTAGTTATAAAAGGAATTAGACTTCATATATCAATTCTTTTTCTCTGTAGATGTGGAACGTTTGCTTTTCGATCTCTTTCGATGAACTTGAAAATATAAGTTATTATCGCTGAGAATCCTTTCCGAAATAGGAGCTTTACGTTTAGGAGGATTGTCGGATGAATTTTGTTTTTTATTGTTTGATTTTGTTGTTATGGAAGATTTTTTCTTATTTTTTTCAGAATTTTGCTTGCTATTAACTGAAACTTGTTTTGACGGCCCAACAATAGCATTTGTAGTAGGAAGAATTCCCAATAACGAGCGCATTTTCGATAATTGTTTTTCAATATGATCAAGAAGGTCCAGCTTATGTTCTAGATTACTAGACATTTGATTTGTAGAAGGATGGTTTTGATTTTCTGGTTCTAAATCTGTAGAGTCTGCAATATTTGAATTTTCGGAGCGAATTGGAGCATCTGAACCTTGATTTGTATCGGCTTGCTCAAAATTAGTTTGAATTGGAGTGGATGAATTAAAATCTGGATGATTTAATGTTTCATTAAATAATGCCATAATTTTTTCTCTTTTTTCATTAATAAACTTAGTGATCATTGTATCTTTATCTGTTAGATCGATCGATTTGAGTATATCTGCATCATGAACTGGAATATTTTCGAACAATGAACTCGATTCTATGGAACCATATGGAGAAATCTCGTTCTGAGCCAAAGAAAGATCACTTACGTTGTATTGTTTGATAGAAAAAATTGTTTTCTCAAGTTCTTTTTGAAAGCAGTCAAGAATATAATTTTTGTAGCTATCAGTGATAACGGTTTTTATATGGCGCTCGATCTTCTGGTTATTTTTGATGGCGTTATATTTATCTAATTGGATTTGAGATATCTTCTTAATAGCTTCATAAATGTTTGGATGTTTTAACGAAGAAAATTCTGAATGCATACTCTCGAGGCAATCATTAGTGAATATTGCAGTTGCATTATTATATTGAGATATTAAATTGTAGTGCGGCAACCAAACTTTGTTGAAATAATCAATATAATCTTTGATCGAATCAACTTTATTTTGATTAATTATATGCATTGTAAGTACAAATTCTTCATGAGACATGAATGGAGTAATAGAATATAGCTTAAATAAAGAATTTTGTAAAGTATTGAAATTTTTTGTATAAAGTGCTACAAGTTTCCTGTGTAAAGCTTGTTTGAAATGAAATAGGCATCCAATTATACGGACTTTAGGGAAAATTTGTTGAAGTGCCTCTATCATTCCCTTTTCAAAATCACAATGAATTTGAATTAGCTTTGAAAATTGAATACCCTTGACAGTAAAAATATATTCAAATGCCTTCTTATAAGATTCAAATGTGCGGTTTTTCATGAATATAAATAAAAGTGGTAGATATTGATTTGTTGAAGGTTCACAAATCATAATTGTTAGCATCTGTCCTTTTTGAAAATGTTTTGGTGTAATTTTAAAAGTTCCATCGCAAAATAAATCTGTGGCTTCTTTTGCAAATTGAATTGCCTTCTCAAAACCAAAAAACATCGTCTCACAATTTGCTTGAAAATCATGGCCAATGAAAAACTGCTCGCCATTTATTAAACAAAAATTAGCAATTTCATCGTCTGTAATTTTTTCTCCAACAGAAAATTTTCTGGACTTATTATAAACTTCCCTGACCAATGAATCTTTAATTAATGGGTTTTCATCAGTACCAACAGCAAGTTCTGTCATAAATTTTTTAATCTGCTGAAAAGTGCCGTTGTCTTCAGAAAATTTTGCCATTGCCTTATTGTATATTTCTGTCAGAGTCATTGATTTATGAAGATCATTTTTTTCATTTTGTAACTTTTTAAATTGTCTGCATTCGGGTATATGTTCCTTTTGTAAATCTTCGGAAACTGAACTGTTCTCAATTTTAACTAAATAACGTGCTTGACAAGAATGATCGATGCAACGGTAGTAACGTTCAATATTATTTGAATTAATAATATTTGTATGATCATGCGAATAAAGCATATCTTTGCGAACAATTGTATCAGGATATTTTCCAGTAACTGCGGGAATATTTTTAACTGCAATATAACTAAAATATCTTCTGACAGCTTTAGATTCATTTTCGGCGTATTTAATATTAAAATATTGAAGAACTTGTTTGATTATATTCGTTTTTTCATCTCTCGATGTTGATTTTTGGTATTTATCAGATTGTTCCCTGATAAATATTTTATTTTCGTCTGTAAAGTTTGCTCTTTTTTGATTAAATATAGATGATTTTCCCATTAAAAAATGAAATGATGCAAAATTTACGAAAACCGTTCGAAAATTGAATCAAAAATGAAAAGTAATACTTAAATGAGGAATTCTTTGAGATATTGGTCTTAGATTGAATGTAGCGTCATTCTTATATAGAATATATATTCATATCATCGGAAATATGATAAAAAGCATATAATAAATGTCAAAAAAGTGAACAAATAAGCAAAGATATTTTTTAAAAAACAATGAAAAGTAATACTTAAATGAGGAATTCTTTGAGATATTGGTCTTAGATTGAATGTAGCGTCATTCTTATATAGAATATATATTCATATCATCGGAAATATGATAAAAAGCATATAATAAATGTCAAAAAAGTGAACAAATAAGCAAAGATATTTTTTAAAAAACAATGAAAAGTAATACTTAAATGAGGAATTCTTTGAGATATTGGTCTTAGATTGAATGTAGCGTCACAAATTTCACAAATATAATTTACTATACAATTTTATTCATTTTTTTAAAATGGCTGACGACAGTCTGTATCAACTAACTCAACTAGTCAAGCATAATGATTATTCTTCGGATTCATTAAATCAACTTTATCAATGCATAAGTACAATGACAGAAAGATCAATTGGATGCTTGAATTGGGATAAATTT